ACTAGGAACTTAAATTTAATTTTTTAATAGTTGTTATGAAGGGATCACTGGACACAAGAAAGCCTATTATTCAAGTCTTGGTTAGCATCTTTTCCTGAGGTCTTTCAAATTCTGTATTTACTCTTTCTCTCTCTCTCTCTCTCTCTCTTTCTGTCAGCGAAAAACTATTTTTGGCAATTTTTTAAAGCATGTAAAAGGCAATCGACTTCGTAAAGTTAAAAGAAATGTCATTGAGAAAAACAGCTTTGACATTTAATGTAATTTAAGATGCTTTACACAGAAAGGTTCAAAGAAAATTAAAGAATTTAGACTCTATTAAAATACATGAAAAATCACTTGGTTCATTTAAAAAAGTATTGCCAAATGAGACTGAAGTCAATTAGTTAACTACAGAAAAGAAATAGTTTTATTTTATTTTGGATTAACCATAAGTGACATTCAACGAATTGTCTTTGAATATGTTGAAAAGTACAAAATAGTTCACCCATTTAATAAATATAATGGTGTTGCAGAAAGAAATTTTGTAAGTGGATGATTAAAGTGGCCATCCAGACCTTTCAATCAGAAAGCCTCAAGGGTTGTCTTTAAATTGTATTTATGGTTTAAACAGCAATTCTGTGAACATTTATTTCAGTAGTATAGAAACTGTTATGAAAAGTACAAGTTTGAATCTCATCAAATTTTTGAATGTGATGAATCAGGTATTACGACTGTACATAAACCTGTTAAAGCTATAACAAAAAAAAACATTGTGTTTCCTCTGTAACTAATAGTGAACGCGGTGTAACAACAACTGCTGTTTGTGCTATAAAACTGCAGGATGATCTTAAAATGGCTAGATTACAACTAATCTGTTAATAGAGTATATAAAACATTTTACAAAGCACACTAGAGCTTCTATCGAAAATAAAATTCTTTAATTTAAGATGGGCATAAAACACATACAAAAAGCATTAATTTGTTAGATTTTGAAATATCCCTATTTAAACCTTCTGAAAATTTAAAAGAACAAAAAATAGAAAATAAGTGTGCATTAGGAAAGGGTAAAGAAAAGGTTAAAGTTTAAGTGTTGAAGTCTGGGAGTGTTATGTTTGTTATAGGTAATGGAGTAAGGCTGCAAAAGGAGAGAAATGGAGTCAATGTTTAAAATTTATAACTTGGGCTCATTCGGATTATTGTTCATTTCAAACTACTGGTGAAGCATTATGTGATTTATGTGACAAGTGACAATGTGTTTGATTATATGATTGACTAGTGAGAGTTTGATTATGTATTATATTTGTTTGATTATATATTATGTATTGTTATTAGCTGTATTACATTATAAAATGTTTATCTTGTTAAATCTCTTAAAAATCTGTTTTGTTTATCATTATTTATTTGAATTTCTTTAAAAAAAAATTTGTCTCATTTTTCCCCAGGATAAGTGTTGTCAATAAATAATCTCTGGTGACCAAACCACTGCAGTTTTGCAACTTATATTTTGTAACGTTATAGTTGGATGGTAAAAGATTTGAAAAATATCAAGCTCTTTTCTGAAAAGTTGTTAGATGGCCTGTATTAGATAAATTAGTGCTTAAGTGTCTCATTTTGCATTTTTGATACTCGTTTTTTAAATCGCTAAAACTTATTGGTTTAATAAAATTTGTTAGACCTTTTGTGATGGATTTTTTGAGTTTTCTTTAGTTTGTATATATGGAGTTGTCTTTATTTCTTCGATAGTCTTTGATAAAATAGAACGCCTTTTTCTTATTTACTTAAAAAGCATTTCTGTCGTTTAAAACAGTTTTAAATTATAGTTTATTTTTAGATTTATTAATATTTTAGAACGTTTTTGATTAAATATTTTAAGCTCACTTTTTTAATCTTGTAAATGACTTAAGTTAATCAACCTGGTGAAGCAAATATATTCATATAAAATTGTTATATTTCTACTATACAAAAAAGTTGCAAATACTCTTGTGCCCCTTTTTTTTTAATATTACTAGATTTATCATTATTATTAAATAATAGAGAAGAACTTAAATTAATAAAATAATTAACCTTAGAAGTACATATAAAAAATAATTGTAGACATTTTAAGCATAAACAAAATTCCAACTGATGATAAACATGCAAAAATCCTCAAGCAGTTTATATTACTAATTAATAAATACATGCCCCATAGTTTTTTTTTATTAGTTTTACGTACTTTGCATAAATCGTTAAGTTCAGGTTTGTTATAATCTTCATAAATACTTGATTCGTGTTTTAAATGAGAAAAGAAAAATTATTTTTATTATGCTAAAAACTTTTTTAGCATAAAAAAATAATGATTTTGACAGTTGTATGATTAACACTTTGTAACTCTTAATTTTTAATTTCTTTTTTTGTAACTCATTTTTCAAGCCTTTTATCAAAAAATTTATGTTTTAATTTAAATTATTTGTAAATATTTTGTTTACCTTTTGCCTTTTGATTTTATATCTTTTAAATTTTATGTTTTTTAACGAAATCCTGTTTTTAAAGATAAAAGAAATATTTAAAGATAATAAAATTTTTTCAACAACCTGAAAATTTAAACCATCAATCCAAAAACTTCGATTACATTGTATTAAAAGTAGATATACATAATAAGATATTACATCAAGATGATCTAATTAAGATGATCTCATCAAGAGATCTGTCAAAATCCATCTAATCACTAGTCCCGTTATAATGGCTCACATCATTATGTTTTCTAAACAAAAAATAGGATCATTTTTATTTATTTATTTATTTTTTTTTTAAGTTGATTGAGGTGCATCAAGAAGTCCTTACGGTCATATCACAGAGCACCGCGGAAGAGCATTTAATAGGAAGTTCACGCCTCCTTCCAAGGGGTTTGAACCACGGATCTTACGTTTCTGAGGCAAGTGCGCTACCACTGCGTCACGGCTGCTTTGATTTTTGTTACAGAATGATTTTGTTACAGAATGATTCACATCATTATTCTTTCTAAAAAAACTATGATCAGGGCCGTTCGAAAGAGGGGGGTGCGTAGGGGGTGTCTAGCCCCCTACGAACTTTTCGGTCGGCCAATTAGAACTGGAGTCGGCGAAATTGGATCAATAGTTGACAGTCGGCAAAGGATCTTTGTTTTTTTTGGACCTTTGTTTTTTTTGTTTTTTTTAGATAAGTTAGCGATCAAAAAAAATATTTTGGCTTTAGTCGCCAAAAACCAGACACATCCCCCCCTTCCTTTTAAAATCTTTTCGGGACGACCCTGACTATGATCATTTTGTTAAAGAACAATTCACACTATTTTTTTTCTAAACAAAAACTATTGTCATTTTGTTTCAGAATGATTCACATCATTATGCTTTCTAAAAAAAAACTATGATCATTTTGTTACAGAATTAAAAAAATTTAAAGAACTCAAAAAACTAATAATAAGAAAACGACGACAAAGAATTTTAAGACTACTTGCTGAATTAGAAAATAAGTTACAAGTGACAGGTGTAGACGAAACGGTTTATATTTTAGTGGTTTGGAAGAAGAAGAAAAGTAAAAAGATAGTAAAAAAAATGTTAAAACTTTTATAAAGATAAATTTAAAAGCAAAATTTCAGAAAAACTGGAATAATAAAGAAAGTTAGCCAACCAATCAGGTAGTTTCTATTTCAACAGATGCTATTTCGTACTTTTTCTACTTTTTTTTTATAACTGCAGCCTGTGTGCTGAGTTATTTTAACTCCCAAAAACATTAAAAAAATAAGCATAAAAGATTTAAAGTTTTTTTTTATCAATATTTTTATGTTTGCAAATTAATTTTAAATTAACTTTATCTTAAAAATAGATAGTAATTAAACTACGGAATAGCTTCGACATTTTTTGTACTTATTATTTTTAAATTATTTTTAAAAGTTAAAGTGGTTGGTTTAGCATATTCTTAAAAATAATGTCCAACAATCAAATATAGAAATTACGATGTCATTTTAAAAGTATTTTTAATTTTAACATTTACATTTCAGTATAATAAAATAAAAGTTTTTTGTATCATAAAGAAAGTTGTTTCATAAAAAGTCACAATGCGACTTTTTTGGACTTTTTCTCTCTTTCTTGATAAAAATCTTTCAAAAATAAGTGATGGTTAAAATATTTTTTATTCCCTAAGCTTGTAAATTCATCATATTTTTTTGCACTCCTCATAGCAATCACATTGGTCTTATTTTGGTTTTAGAAAACTTATACAAGGCTAACTATTAAATGCTGCAGTCGTGGCACAGTGGTTAGAACGCTCATCTTTGAATAAAGAAGTTCCTGGTTCAATTCCAGCTCTGACCATACTTATGATATTGGTAATGAAGCAGTGAACTTCCAATTTAAAGGCTCTTCCGCGGTGCTTTGCGATAAGATCGTATAGACCGTAGAGCGCTTTAATAACCAGATAAAAAAAAATCTCATATATTTATACTATTTTACAAACCAGATTTATGATTATGCAACTACTAAAATGGGGAATGATAAATGAATAAGGATAGATAAATGATAAATTCAATGTACTTTTAAGATATTTTTTTTGGATAGCTGTTTCTGAAATCCTATTTTAATGCGTGAACAAAAGTGTGTAAACACAAACCTTGACCAATAACGATTTTGGCAGTTTGTACTTTGTGTGCTTATCTTTTTTTCCATTCAACTGGAATTCCTTTAAATGCATTTAATAAATTGTTGTGAAAATAATATACCTTGGGAGGTAAATGTTTTGAGGTTTTTGTTGTTTACAGGTTTATTGCAATATTTTGCAAAACATTTTTATTTAGTACGAGCATAAATTTACCCAAGTTTGGAGTTTGTTCCATGTCTGAAAGTTATCTTTCTTAAACATGCAAAAAACTGCCGCCATCCCTGTCTACTCTGGCTTGTGATAAGCGAATAATTATTGTGAAAACTATTTACAAATTCTGTGAACAATGCTGTTGTTTTCAAAAAAATTTTGATTAATATATTCTCTTTTTTTTTCTATATTTTGCTTTACAGCGCTGTAATATCCTAGGATATTGTTGGCTTAGCATAGGAATATTAACAAATAGTTATCAAGAATAATCTAAAGTACCGACCGTTATTGAACGACATTTTTGCATACCGAAGTACTACTAAAGCGCTGAGTTAGCGGTGGCCGGATTTGAACTCGTATCACACAATAGTCCAAGTTTTAACATTTTATTTGACCCTCTAACCAACTTAGCTATCCAGGAACAGCCAACTCAGCAACAATTTGCTGTAATTCGAGGTAATTCTTTTTCTCACTTATTCATTTCTTATAGTAAATTTATCGTTTGATTTACTGGTATATAAACTATAGAAACGTCTGAATAAAATTTGATCAACTAATTTAAGCAGGTTTTCTATCTATGAATTTCATCCAGGTTATCTTTTTTTTTTTTTTTTTTATTGTGCATATCCTTTTTCACACATCAAGATATCATACCCATTTTTTTTTTCGCATTTTTTTTTACATATTTTAATATTAGCTATCAGATCTTTGACAAAATGAAAAAAAAAAAAAATAATAATAATAATAAAAAAAAAGCATGAGTTATTTTCAATAATGCTACAGCATTACTGGGTTTTTTTCGCAGTTTTCACTTATGACAGAACGCAACACGAAACTTATTTAAAATTAAAATTTATTTTATTGCGTTCTCCAACGTATAAACCACAACAATAGTCACCCTAAAAAACCGCGACAATGGTCACCCTAAACAACTGCAACCATGGTCACCCTAAACATTGCGCAACTTTATTATCAAATTTAAAATCAAAATTTTATTTATAATTGAATTTATAATTTCAAATAAATAACTTAAAAATAAAATTTTGAAACAATTAATTTTTTAAATAAGAAAAAAAAAAAAAGCAACGACAATAATGACTTACATTATTGAATTTAAAGACAAAACTTTTTGTGTGGTTTTAGAGTCAGGCATCTTTAAAAAGTTATCAAAATATTAAAAAATTTAGCTAGCTAATTGGCTCGAATCTGCATTTTTTAAAAGAACAAACAATCACTTTTTTTTCTAGCTGTATTCAATTGGAAATAAAACACAATAACAACAATTTAAAAAAAAGGCAATCTAACAAATTATCACTCAGGTTGTTTGATGTAACCAAAAGGAAAAAGAACAAATGTAAATTTTAAATGTGTTAGCAACCAAGATAAAAAGATTTTTTTGCTTTATAGACTTTTATGGTTATCTTGACTTTTACAAGTTAGAACAAATAAGCACTCAAGTTGTGTGATGTAACCAATTGTGCGGTATTTTAGCTAATTGAGAAATGTTTTAAGTTAAAGTAAGTCTCTCTATGCAGCTGCAATGGCTTGCAACCTGTTATATACTATTATACTTATCAAAAATTAATAGCTTCTGCAGTTTTCGACTTGGCAACCATGGTGGTAGAGTTTGAGCGCTAGGTTTTAAATCCAAAGGTCAGGATTTTAAACCCTGGTCTGTCGTAAAAACGGCATCATCCGCTTTCATCGGCAAGAATTGAGATAAATAAAGTTTCATTAAATTTCAGATTCAAGACAGAGCTTTTAATGCAACTTCTAAATTTAAGTTTTTTCAATAAAAATATGTAAATCTCAGTTGTTTATTTAACAATATTTGAAAAAAGTACCCCCTCCATATTTATAACGTGGTGTAATTTGGAAATCGATTTTTAATGTAATTGTAAATAAGATAATCAATTGAAGCCTAAAATATACAAAATGCTGAGTCTAATTTAAAAAAATTATTATTTTTAGTAAAAAGATAAATACACAACGTGAGAATTAGTAAAAATGAGACTTAAAAATAATAAAAAATTAAATAAAAGAATTCAAATAAAAATAGAAATAACTTTTATTATAAATAAATCTATATTTTTTATTCTATAATTAAAAGCCTTTATAGCAATGAAAATCGTTCTATTTTTGGCAAATATAATTATTTTATTACAAAAATCTGTCTGGGAGTTTTTACACTGTGCTCAGAATTCAAACCCACGAAAAAGTTTCTTTAAGGAGATTTTGATTTTCTTAGAATGCAGCTGTTGCATGGATACGGTTGATAGTAGTGATGAGATTTTAATAATAGCTTTTATGTTTTCAAACATCTCGATATACTTGCATAAAATAGTTTAAGACAATTAGCTTTCTAGCGAAACGAAAAATTTACATAAGTTTTATAGCAAATGTTGTAAAATTTGCACAAAAAAGTTTTTTGCCCTCTTCCTTTTTAGAAAAAATGCTATTTTAGCTTTGTACCGCCTACTAGTTTAATGAAAAGTTAAAATTAAATAATACAATTCATAAATAATATTATTATTTTGAGATAAATATTTAAAATAATTGAAAAAAAATAGCTGACAGCTTAAACCACCAGTGGTTGAAGCCCAAACCTAAAAACAACATATATTGAAAGTATAAACTACCAGTGGTGCACCAGATACCAACTCTGAGTATGTTTATGCTTATATCAAATGATAATGTTTTTATAAAGTTGTGACTAAGTTTTTTAACCCTCTCATTTAAAGGGGTTATCCACTTCACCAAATCTTTTACATACCTTTTCGTTGATTTTTATGTTTTACAAAATAGTCTTGAAGAAATTTTTTATCTAAAGAAAGGGGTTCATTTTTTCAATTAAAAATGTATTTCTGAAACTTTTTTTTTTAATTATTGTTTTTAACTATATTTATTTGATGTAACATTATCTACATCGTATAAATCTGAGTTTATATAAAATGTTTGTGTTTACATAAAATGTTTATGTTTATAAAATATGCGTTATTATTTATGCCACAGTGAATTCTAAATGACAAAAATTCAAAGTATTCTGCAACTTCTCAACGTTTTGTAGTTTTTTAAATGCTTAATTAAATTTAAAAAAGTAATATAACTTGTGTCGCATAAGTTGCAATTAATCCAGATTGCAACACTATTATTCATAAAAAATATCGCTTTTAAACGTTTGTCATAGATATAAAACACGATCATTAACATTGAGGATTGCATACACTTTAATTTATATTTTTTAATTTAAATAAAATAATGCATGCTTAAAAAATTTTATACTTTATTTTTTTATTTATACTTTTCAAACCTGTTTCATTTACCCCCAAAAGGTAAAACGTAAGTTACAAAGAGAACAGTAAGACGTAGAAAATGGCTCGTTAAAATTAAAGTTCTAATAAATGGGTAAAATATCAACACAAAAGTAAAGTCAGATAAAACTTTTAATGAGCATCTTTGCAGCATCTTTAAATGAAAGTATTTTAAAAGCATCTTTGAGAAATAAAGAGTATATGCCTCGGTGCATCTCGTTTGAAAGTCGTCTAGCTACTTTTTGTAGCGCATTCCCTAACCGTTTTAATTTCTTATATTTCATTTATTAGATGTTTTTTCATGCAAACTTTATTTTTTAAGATATTCTACCCAACTTACCCCTCTGGTTAACTAGCCACACTCTTTCCTACAATGTTTGCAGTTTTAAATTTTACCATTGTTTTTTTTTTTTTAATCTTTTCTCTAACTTTTTGATTAGTTTTTTTTTTTTTTTTTTTTTGTTCAAAACTTTTTATACATTCTCTGTTAATAAACTAAAAAATTTGTAATTTTTTCTTAATTTTACCTTATTTGAATTTTCTTCATTTTCTTTTTTTTTTTCTTTAATTTACTCTTCTTTATTGCTTGATTTACTGAAATTTACCAATGTTTTTTTGAATAAATAGTTCTGAATTTTTAGACAAAATTTTGATTGAATAGTTTAAATTTTAATAGATGTTGGTTAACTTAAAAAGAATTTTTATTATAATTAATGAATATCTAATAAATAACAAGAAAATTACCAATCCCAGCCGGCAAATACGTCCGTAAGATGTCTACAAGACAATCTATGGACGTCACAAGTCTGTAGGACGTCCAGCTGACGTTTTGTGCCGCTGGGATAATAAGATATAGCTGTAACAAGTGGTACAGTTGTGAAGTTCAATCATAGTAGGAGTTGCACCTTAGCAGTTTGATATATGACGTTTTGTATCTTTATAACAGATCCTGCATCTTTAGCAGCTAATGAATATCATCTTACTAAAGTTTAAAAACTTTACTGTTCAACAAAACTAAAAATTTTATTCGAAGTAACAGATAAGTTAAAAGATGATTTAAATAATGTACGGTATTCTAGTTTATGTAAATTCTACAGTTTTTAGAGTTCTACCAAATTAAAATGTTAAAAGACTTCAATTGCAGTAATCCGTCTCAAGCAATCAGACAAATGGATTTGAATAAAAAAGTTTAAGAAACTGTTGGTATATTGTATGCTTAAGTAAAAAGACCGACAAAAAGACATGCAATTTTGTAGAACATCAAATTAGTGAGCTTACAAGTTTATTGTGAAACTTCATTTGAGACTTTCAGACGCTATTTATTGAAATTTGTCTACAATCAACTCTGGATTAAAGCGGTCCGAAGCTCCAGTTCATGTATGAAGTAATAAATGACGTTCGAAGCTCCGGTTCATGTGTGAAGTAATAAATGACGTCTGAAGCTCCGGTTCATGTATGAAGTAATCCGGTTCATGTATAAAGCAATAAATGACGTTTTTGAAGCAACTTCAATAAATTATAAAACTTTTATTTAAAAAAATGTATTACCTTTTTTACAAACACAAAAGTACATATTTGAAAAAAACATCTGTGCACCTCTTAATCTTAATAATGTTTATATTTTTATAACATTTTTAAATAACAGTTACATACATTTTTATATGTTAGAAATAGAATAAAACTTTGTTATTGAATCAACATACATGGAAAGCAGATGTTTGCTCAAATAAGTTTAATATTGTATGTGTCGTATTGTATGTGTCGTATTTACATCTGAACAACTCGGCGCGGAATTATTTTTCATTTGGATTTATTATACTATTTAACATTATTTTTAAATTTATAAAGTGCCTGTAAGTCTGATACGTGTTCAGGTACCATATAACCTTTTTTAAATTTAACCAAAAATTATTTTGATTAATGACAACTTTATCTTTTAAAAATTATTTTTTATTTTACTCTATTAAAGAAATGATTCAATGTAAAAGTACCAATGAGCTAATAAAAGTTACAGTTTACAACAAAAAAATAACTTATCCAATATATAAGTTATTTTTTTGTTTTGGTTGTTTTGGTTACGTCTGTAGACGTAACCAAAACAACCATAAAAATTGTAGTTTAAGGGAGAAAAAATTCATTTTATTATATAAATATAACGGAAAAAATTCATTTCAGTATATAAATATAACGTTTAATTATTATTTATTACTTAATTGTTTAATAATTTAGAGCGCAAACTATAAAACAATTAAATTTTTGGAAAATATGTTCTGGCGTGATCGGTTTTAAGTATAAAAAATTTAGAAGTCTTAATATGGAAGTCTTAGTTTTTTTTTCAATTTGTTCTTGTTTAAATTGACTTTTTTTAGTAAATAAATACATAAATAAAAGTTTACATAAAATTAGCATTTCTCAACTAGAAGCAATTCTTGATAAATAATCTTTAATTAATTACATCAATGGACGCCCCAAATTTTTTTTATTTAACAATAAAAAATGTTTTTAAACGTTAAAAAAGCAAATATATGTTTCTTTATCTAGAATAAAGTACGGACGTCCTTTACTCACGTCCCTTATACACTTAAAGAAAAAATTAGTCCAAATCTATGTTTTAACAAAATCAGGGGGCGAAAAAAATTATAATCACAAATGCGTGATAAAATAATCGATAGACGTTGCCAATTTTATATATTGTATAATTTTCCTTTTAACTTTATTATTTTTCAATATTAAGTTTGAAAAGCTTTGACTTCTTTTATAAAAAATATTTTTTATCGTCTCTTTTAACATATGCTATGAAATACGTAAGATAAATAAAAAAAGTTCCATAAATCTAAAAAATGTCTTTTCATGTCGACATATCAATTTAAAATGTCGCTCGATCAGTAAAATAAAACAATTATTATACAAAATGATAAACAAAATTAATTTCTTGAAAAGACATATCGGGAAGAAATTTTTTTTTTTTTTTTTTTTTTTGTAAATACTAGATTCTTGTCGATTCTTGAAAAGATGAATGAAGTCTTAAAATTGTTGACATTTTATTCAAAAAATCACATAGCCTTCCGAACCAACTGACTCATGTGACATTTGTCTGTGATTTTCAGATAAATTCCACGGTCAAGTAAACTTTATTCAATCATTGTTATTTGATACATTCATTGAGTTTTTCTACTTAATTTTTTATATCTAATACTAATTTCTCCATGAAATGCATGTTTGTTTTTTTAAAAGTATACGTACAAGGTCAACAATAAAGTATAAATAATTTGGATGTTGCTTTTTTTCGTTTTATAGTATTGATTTTTATTTTATATTTTATATATACGTACATACATACATACATACATACATACATACATACATACATACATACATACATACATACATACATACATACATACATACATACATACATACATACATACATACATACATACATACATACATACATACATACATGGTGTGCTTCTTGACGAGAAATTATCTTGGAACTCTCACATAAATACCATTAATACAAAAGTCTCAAAAAACATTGGTCAACTCTATAAAGCAAGAAATTATTTATCGTTCGAAAATTTAAAACTTCTTTATTTTTCCTTTATACACAGCTATCTATCATATGCCAATATAGCATGGGCAATTACCCATAAAACTAAATTAAGTTCACTCTATAGACGACAGAAACTCGCCTCAAGAATTATTTTTTATGAAAACAAACTTACTCACGCAAACCCATTACTAAAACAGATGAATGCTTTAAACATTTACCAAATTAATATTTATCAAAATATTTTGTTTATGTTCAAACATAAAATGGGAATTATTCCAAGTCGATTTATGAACAACTTTTTTAAAACTAATATAAACAAATTTAGCACTAGAGCAACTGGAAACTATATAGTACCCCATAAAAAAGAAAACAAGTCTCAATTCTCAATAGCATATCGTGGTCCTTACTTGTATAACAAATTAATACCAAAAAGTTCCTCAATATCGCTCCTGAAAAATATAAATTCCTTAAAATCTTATCTTAAAAAACTTGTCTTAAATACAAGCAGTTAAATGGAAATTTTTTAATAACTTATGAGTAATTAAAATATCAATATAGTATGAATATACATATATACATACTAGCTTATGTTATGCTCCTTCCTTAAAACACGGCTAATTATATTGAAAAATGTAATAAGTAATGAATAAAATATTTATGAGTATCTCATGAAATTGTTTTAAAAAAGGGTTCTCGATGACAAGAGAAAACACAGTTTTCTGCGAGTTTCCCTTGACTACATAACTAAAGGTTTAATTTTCCTTTTTTAAGACTTTTTTTGTCTTTTTAAAATATAAACTGAATAACTATTTTACATTATTTTATTACTTTGTTCATCAAATATATCTTAGTATTATTTCAGTTATTTTCAAAGCATTTTGACTGTATTTATAATAAAAATATATATTGTTAAAACTATTTGTAATAAAAGTATGTATTGTTAAAGCTATGTAGTTGTAAAAAAAAATAAAATAAAATAAAATAAAATATATATATACACATATGCACATATACATACAAATGCATACACACACACTAATACACATATACATACGCATACAAATAAATATACACATACACACACATATACACATACACATATACATAGGTAGATATAAAAAATCAGGATGGTTTAGAAAATAATTACGGTAGATATACGGTAAATATAGGAGCTTAATTGCCCCCAATTTTGCATGCGTCTTGGCTTCGTGTATTGGAAAAATTATATAAAATAAAAACTTTTTGTGTCTAAACTAGATAAAGTTAGTACAGAATTTAAACTATTTGAGTGATTTGAAAATTTATGTTATTTGAAACTGATAATATACCCGAGTAGCGAACAATAATAGTCAACATGGCGCAATATTATTTTTATAGTTTACACACTGCAAATGTTATCGCCCATATACTTTTGCTAATCGGTATTTTATAAATATTGCAAAATGTGATTTATGTATTGATTTTATTTGAGAATGTTAGTTATAAAGAATATCCTCAAAAAAATTTTAAATTTTAAATTTGATTTAGAGGGTGTTACAAACAAAAGTTGAAGAACATATAATTGCTTTTTGAGAAGTATAAAGAGATAACTCTTTATGTTCGAGTAATTTTAATACATATAAAATAAATGAAAATAGTATAAATTTACTAAAAACTTTCTTGGCTTGTAACTTCTTCTACCATTTTTTATAATAATCTTTGAATATATGTATATATATATATATATACTTTTTTTTAATGTACTGTAAGCTAAAATATAAAAAAAACGTTATATAAATAAATAAAGCGAATAATTTCTTTACACGAGAGCTATACAGCATAAATGAAAAATTGAATATTTTTATTAAAAAACAATCGAAAGTTGATTTTTGTTTTATTTTATTTTTATTTAATTAAGTAAAATAAAAAATCTTTTTTTTTTAAAAAAAAATAGCTTTATATAACTGCCTTTACTCGTTTAAATCGTCGTTTAATAATTAATATGAAGAAATTCCCACGCAGGTTGCAAATCACTCTTGCAGGTTTATCGCAAATATACCTTGCAGAGGTAATCTATCATTTAAACATCAGTATCAAAGTTATTGAAAAAAAAAGGTCAAAAAATTTGCTGCACAATGAGACATCTTCTGTCTCATAAGTGACTTTGTAACATTTATTTTACTGTGCTTTAAAAATGCTTATTCAAACAATAAAATAAAAAAAAAGCAAAATTTTAAATGAAAACAATGAATTTAAATAAAACCAACGAATTATACAGACAGCTTTTATGACGCCCGTGGCATAGCAGCAATTAGGTGCCTCTATAAACATACATAATTTTAAATTAAAAGCGTGTGCAATTATGCGTTCTTATTTCTATTAATGTTTTTTTACATCTAGATTTACGAGAAAAATTGCATAACCAGATTCATTGCAATTCTGCTATCATTAGTCGCTTTGCGTAAAATTCTGTTTCATCGCCAATACAAGTCATCAGTTTAGGGCCGTGCGCACCCCATCTCCCACCTATCATCCTCCTCCTCCAAAAAAACCCTGCTCAATTTTTTGGATTATACTACTGGTATAAGTATAATTAAGTAATCCAGCTTTTGTTTCTTACAATGTTATTTTACTGGTCTTTTGATTGGAAAACTCTTCACATCATGGTGAATTGTCTCATTATTAAACGCAAAAAGTTCTTGATAAACTTCAACTTACTAAATGAACGCTCACTTGAGGCCACTGTAATAACGCATTTGAAAGAGCTCATGTATTTCAGGGTACTTCTAATCTCAGTTTTTGTTTTAGGTGTGAAATTTAAGCTCTGAAATTCTTCTAAAGGTTTAATGATTTGCTTTTAGTGATTAGAGAAGAGGCGAATAATGTCAAGTTTCTCAATTCACTGTGTTCCAGATTGTCTATGCAAAGATAACTCATGGAGGTGTGTCTTTGATTGGACACCTTTGTATTGTCCTGAAATGTTGTCTCCATTGTCATAGCCTCAGCCACGGCAATCTTCAAAATAAGTTTCCAAAATTTCCTGAATTAATCTTGCAAAATCAGATCTAGTCTTCTTAGCATAATCTGCAAAGATTAAAAACCGCTCTTTAATTTAAAAATTTCCAGGTTCTTCCTCATGTAATTATTAAATGAAAAACATAGTTTGTTCAGTATGGCTCACATTAGGAGTAACATTAGTTTTAGAGGTTTGAAGCCCTTGATCCTTGTTCTGTGATTGTTTAACATTTCATCACATATTCATTGAGAATTGGATCATAATGCAAAATCAGTTCCAGCAATCCTAAGAAATTTCCATTATGAGAA